ATCAAAACTAGCCGTATGCACTTGAAACTTTTCCTGTGTGTGGCTTTTCTAAACTATCAGTTACTATCAAAATGTGTTGTCTGCAACTGGGTTTTTTCAAGAACCACTTTGGGCCCAACAACCTTGTTAGATAAAGTAAAAAAAAATTAAAGCTACTGTCCACCATAGGTCGCCAGTCGACTTCCTCTGCTGAACAAAAGTGAGAAGATTAAATTGCTGCAACATATAAAGCGTTCAACCTTCAGATCAGCACTTCCTCCTTTGTTTAGCAGACCTCAGACCAAGCAACGTTACCACTGGGACTTAAACATGTGATCATTTTGCTGCGCCGCGACAGCATAGACGCCGCCGTTTTAAGTCATCTGTACAGTCAGCAAGGAATCCAAAACTTTCTGTTAATTCTTCTGGGAAGTGCAGTTCATTCACTCCAGATACCAAACTGTTAGTGCAGGTCAGAGATGGGATTTCATACTGTATCACCGTATTCTGTGGACTGACCAAAAATAGGAGCATCAATATCCAAACTAAGAATACGTGCTGAAGTGACAGTGGTCCGGTCTAAAAATTAGAGCTAATGATCGGATGTCTTTGTCCTCGCAGGCCTGACAAATATTCTGATCTGAGACATTTCAGTGGAACAAAAAAGTCAGATATGAGTCACCGCAGGCTGCTAACCTGAAAAAGGAGTAATTCATGTCATCAGCTCTGAAAATATAACTTTCTGATTCAGAGAAAGGGCAGCTCAAGATCAACGCTTTTTTTATATTGGGGCAATTCAAATGTACTTTCTCAAACTTTCTGTATCCATTTTTACCACTTATTTCCTGTATGCTAAAGGTATTTTTGCTACATAAAAGACAAAAATATACTCGTGCAAATAACTCTGTGTAAAAATACAGCAACTAGCAGTGGACTGTGTCCTCCACAAATTCTTCCCAGGCTTGGATACCTGACCAGGGTTGCATCATGAAGGACATCCAGTGCAAACATCCGCCAAAACAGTTATTTGGATCATTAAAAAGCTCAGTCGGGGTCCAGCAGAATTTGAAGTTGTTGAAAATATTTTTGGAACAGCGCTGGGGAAAGAACAAATTTGGGGGAGGTTCAAGGTTAAACAGTTTGGAGATAAAGTTAAAGGTGCAAGGCTGAGGTTTTTAAATGTTGGCTGTTGTGTAGCCTCTGTTTGAATGCATGAAGCTGCTGTTGGTGAGTACAGAAGAGTTGATGCTGCTGCTGCTAACGCTGCTGCTAACGCTGCTGCTGCCGATGTAGTGGTCTTACGGTGGAATGCTGTGTTTGCTTTCCACCAGACTGAACAAGTGGGTCACTGTACCCACCATAAATACCACAGTGACTCAACTGATCACTGAACATTGGTGTAAAAGTCCTGAGAACCTAAAACTGGGCTTGGTTTTAACCAGGCTTCATCATCTTTATCAAGATTTTTTTAAACTCACACCATAGACGTGAAGATTGTGTGGATTGATCAAGCAAAACCAGCAGGGAGTTTTTCTTCACCCCCGTTGCTCCCGGGGGAAATTGACTTGATCACTTGGCATGTCTCTGAATCTGCCAACTGCGTTTTTGTCAAACTGTTAAAGCACTACAGGTATTATTATTATCAATAATAACTATATTGATCCCATATTTGGGAAATTCTTGTGTTAACATCAGATATGCTGATAACAGGCAGGCACCAAGCTGTGGGTGTTATGGGATTTGAACCCAGGACTCTCTGCGCTCTGCTGCCGAGGCAGGCGTGCTAACCGCTTCCTTATAGAAAAGACTCATTCAGGATTATTCACAGCCCAGGGTTTAATNNNGAGGGGTGGGGGGGGGGGGGCAGGGGTGTACTGAATTTAAAAAGTGTTGGAACCACTGGCCTACAACGAGAAGATTATCAGTTCAATCGCCTGCGGTCTGACTGATGGTCTTTCTGTCGTTGACCTTTGCTTCATCTCCACCCACATGTGTACGTGCCTCTTAGCAACCATGGCTTACATCTGTTTAGCTCAGCTGTTTGAGCACCCCCGCTCCCCCCCCCAAAAAAAAAAACTTCCATCAGCCACCACTTCTCGCTCTCTCTTCCTTTTCTGATTCTCACACGCATACACTGAACAGTGATAAGTAGGTCTCCACCTGTGGGACACAGCAGCCTCGTGAAAACCCCCATCAGCCACCACGGAGCTGACGATGATGGCGTCTCAGCTGTGTTCAGAGCAGCTGCTTACTGAAAATGTAATGTGCTGCAAAGAAGTTTTTTTTTCTTTGTCTGTGTTGGTCGATGTGATTGACATGTGGTATATACTTACTCTATATATAAATATATCTACACGTGTGTGTGTGTGTGTGTGACCTCTGAGGTCTCTGAGCTCTGAGGTTCACTGATCCCGCTGTTGCCGTACACTGTTCAGAGTGAAACACGACAATTTATTATAAATCCATGAACATCTGAAATTTACCATATTAAACCAAAAACACATATTTCATATTGTAAACTGTATTCAATATAAGGGGCGTCACCATTGACGGCTCTGGTCCTTCAGATCTTCAGTTGTTCTTTTTACCAGTATTTATTGGAAGTTAAAAATATTAGCTCGATACTAAACCATCTAGATTCCGGTTTAGAAGAAAAACTAGTCGCCTAAACCACACAGGTGTGTGGGTTGTTTTATTTATCTTGTTGTTGTTGTTGTTGTTGTTGTTAATCCTTAAATGAAATCCGTTTCGTGTTTTATTTAGTCAACTGTCTGTTGGCAGAGTTTCCTGTGAAAATGAACGTTCAGCTGCTACTGGACAACATCGTAGCAGTACTACGCTGAATCATTGCTGCCAAAGTGCCTACAAATGTAAGAATAACAGAGAATAAATCCGTCAGCCCTGGAGTGAAGGCAGCGTCTATCACTGCACTATTTTAATCTAATCAGATTGAAAGGCTCCGGGAATTTGGGTCACAACCAAATGAGTCAGGATTTTTTTTTTTTCTTTTAAGGCTGGATCATGTTATATTTATAGCTACTATAGTATACTATACAATACAACACTGTGCTCTACTTTACTGACGTGTGTTATGGTTGTTATACTACAGTATAATATATTGTGTTTTCCTCAATTTTCATGTAACTTTGAACAGACTGTTAAGTGAAAACATCATTTGAGAATTTTGGATCATTTTAGGGGAAGTTAATTGTCATGTTTTATGTGACATAATTTTACACAAACGTATGCAGTCTTTAGACAGTCCACTTACTCGTGACCTTTCTACCGGATTATGACCTTATTTCACCCTAACCTGAAATGTAGTTTCTAATCTTGAAACAAACTGTTATGGATTTGAGCTACAGGGTTGTTTTTTTTTATACCTTATTTATACCGTATTAGGTAACAATTACAAAATTTGAGCTACAGGGTTGTTGTTTTTTTTTTATACCTTATTTATACCGTATTAGGTAACAATTACAAACAAATATCTCAGATTAGACCAGTGGTATCCTTTTATACTGAATAAGTAAACCAGATATTAGTGATTGTTAGTTTCTCATTCGTTGGACTGAAGTGAAAGTTAGTTATGAGTCAAATATCAACCACTGTATGGTAATGGTTGACTGTTCCCTGCCACACATCAGTGGAAACTATAGTGAACCTCTGAAGGAGTCAGTGCAGTTTTTGTCACCCCTCCCCCCCCCCCCCCCC